AAGCAGCGGGAGGGCTCGCGGGAGTCGCGAGCAGCGGGAAGGCTCGCGGGAGGCGCGAGCAGCGAGAGGGCTCGCGGGAGTCGCGAGCAGCGGGAGGGCTCGCGGGAGTCGCGAGCAGCGGGAAGGCTCGCGGGAGGCGCGAGCAGCGACAGCGATGAGCAGCAGCAGCGGGAGAAGGAGCGACGAGCAACGAGATCGGGAGCGGCAGCGGGTTAGGGTTGGGTAAAGGTTAGGGTTGGGTAAGGGTTATATCGGTTTAGTTGGTTCGATTGAACCAACTAACAACCGAACCAGGACCGAACCAGACCTAAAATCCTGGTTCGGTCACTTGGTTTACCCAAGCGCTCGCCCGAAGCGCCCAACGCCTAGGCTCGGGCGAGCGCCCAGGCGGCGCCTGTTTGAAGCGCGCCGCCTGGGACATTAGCGAGGCGCTCGGGCCTCGCCTCGCCTCGCCTCGCCCGAGCGCCTAGGCGAGCGCCCGAGTGCCTCTTTCAATCACTGCATTGATTCTAGCAAAATAGACAATTTTCTAGGCAGTTTAGTAGAAGGATTTAAATATTAGTCTAGCCAAACCAATATATTCTCACTGATATTTACCGGTCCAACCGAGCACCAATAACAAAATGTATAGCTCGATAACAATAATATGCCATTCATTTTTTATTTTCTCTTATCAGGTGGTACAAGTCAGTTTACCACCTGATATATGAGTACTGTACCAGTCTGATAGGTTACCAAAACCATTATCAAACATCAGACCTGTACTCAAATCCATAGATCAGGATGTGTTTTCAACAACTACAATTGCATATTAATCTCATGAAGTTTAACTGGTAATTATTTTAGCATGTATAAGTATCTTATTTCTTGAAAGATGATAACCTCATGAGTTTAACATCAAGCACAAAATGTAACTGTATCCATTAAGAGATAAAGAAATCATGATGCAGATTTGAGTGCAAGCAAGAACACTTACGTAGTAACAACAGCTGGAAGCCCTTCTGGAATGGCTGCAACTGCAAGGGCAACCGCAATCTGCATGTAGGATATATTAGAGGGGATAATGGAGTACAATTACTGACATGTATTCATGTGTACATCCATAGAACACATCTAACACTATAATTATATACCATAAATGGGATGTGATTTAATCACAGTTAGTTTTTTCTGGTTCCATATATCCCATATATATTAATTGTGTGATACTTATCTCAAACAACATTAAAACATAAGTAAATAAAAATCATAATTCAAATCATTTTACCATATGGGCTTATATTTCCATTTTTCTCTCATTAAATCAGAATTTTGGACATAACTCCATGTGTGATTCACTAGTAAACATTGGCTCAAGAACAAATGTCAGCATAGACCTATCAGCACAAGTAAATATAGCTGAACTGAAGTTTTACAATGCAACTCATACAATTATATGAAGGTGGTCCAAGTTAAAAAAGGCTTAATGTTTATACTTTATAGCATGTTAACTTGTAAAGAACTATCATTGTCTTCAAAGAAAATAAAGGCCTAAATGACACATCTAAAAGTTAGTTTACCAGCTCTCGGCTCCAACCACTCAAATCAATTATCAAAACTTTCTCCATGCCAGAATAATAAATCCAGAGGTTTAGCTAGCACAAGTTTAATGGACATAAAAGAATACCTTGAAGTAGTGAATAGCGCCTCTCATAAATCCACCATGAGAAGGATCACGAAAATGGCCTATATTAACAACCCACACAAGGACACAAATTCCTGCAATAACCTGAAAACGGAGAGTATATAAGAGCTTTGAAACACCAAACTGAAAGTAAATCCATGACTAAGGCTCTCAACAGTGATCAACATAAAACAGTGTCTATTTGAGATTATCACACCTTAAAAATTATTAGTGTAAAAAACATTGACAAGGTCCAGATTCGATAAAAATAAGCATAGGAAGTTACCAAAGGAAAGCTCAGATGGCATAAAATTTCTGGCAAGTTCAGCTTACAGAAAAAAAATTCATCTTTCATGTATTGCACACTATAGTTAAAGCTTTCACAGTTATTAATTTCTATAATTGATGAATATGAGGCAGCAATACTACCATCAAACAAAATGAAAGTGTAAACTCTTTGGATGAGTAAAATGGAAGATACAGGCATGCACGGTCATACAACTATACAAAGATCAGCAAGGAAATTACACAAATACTCTTGATATTCAGGCATCTCATTTCATACAATTGTTCCCAATAATTCAGATAACTCATAGTTTTCAAATATAATTTGTCAATTTGCACAATTTTCATGACTCTGTTCATAGGCATGTTATCTTCCATCCCCTCATTTTACATATTAATACCTTCTTGAATAGAAATTCTGACAAATCAGAACTTATATTTTTCAAAAATTAAAAAATCAATAATGCATAGTTACCTTGGCCAGAAATGTACCGAACTCATCAAGTTTCTTCTTTAAAGGTGTTGCTTCCTGAAAAACATTTCATCTTTATCACATGTCCAAAAAGCCTACTGCATGCATATATCTATAGCAAAATCAACAATCACTGGCATATGCTCAACAAATGGGCATTGAACAAGATTCCCATGATAATCCTTCAATAAAAACTAAGCATTTAGGTTTCTTTCAAACCAACAAGATTCATTTAATCCTATTAATAGGCGCACAAAGGCATTAGTCTACTGAGCAAACACATTAATTCTCCACCTATCAATTTCTGATTCCACTAAAATAAGAAAACAAGTTGATGATGGAAGATCACTCATAACATCAGCAGTTACTAGAACCAAACTGGTCATCAACCATGCACGGCCTTGGTCCAATGGTCACTGGTCAGATTAGTAGGTCAATCTATCAGACTGCATGTTTATATATTAAATAATATTTTCTTTGGCTCTTTTTCCCTTGTCCTTTTTTTGCCGCCTTTCCTTTCCAATTATGTTCATTTTTTTCTCTTCTCTTTTCCTTGCCCTCTGCTTTCTTTTCTTAATCGTCTTCTCCTTCCTCTTGTTATTTCCTTTTCCTCTCCTTCCTCCCCTGCTCTTCTCCTTCAACTTCTTCCTCTCCTGTGCCTCCACTCCTTTCTCCCTTTGGCACAATCAGCAATATCAGCTATGGTGGGGTGTTTCAACGGTTAAGATGGTATGAGGCAATAGCAGGGGTGACAAAGGTCAGACAACAGCTGAATTTTGAAGTTAGAGCCTGATTTTCAGGTCTTAATCTCTTTCTTAAATGGCTAACATGTACACAACCAAAAGACCCCCAATCATTCAATGTTATAAATTTGGAAAATTTTTGCTTGGTCTTTTCTCAGACTTTCAGAACCAGCTCAGTCTCATTTGGACCACCCAGTTTGTTTTGAACTTTTGATCAAACAGGCCTGGTCAATGTGGTTCACTCCATTTTTTATCTCCGACCCAAAAGCAAGACCAAACCATCCAGGGGTTTTCTAGTTTTTCCAATTGGACCGGTCAATCCAGTCTGCTTTGATAACTATGCATATCCTCCATGATTTATCTATCTTAATAAGTTCTGGTTCTCTTCAGTCAAACCTAACTGGATAAAAATACCAACGTGATGCTACAAAAAATGAAAAATGTTCAATGGGTTCCATTCACAGATAAGAGAATGAAGAGAGTGACAAAACTCTCGTAATATTGCAGTCTACTGCAAGTCTGCAATAAAAGCAAACTTGGAGCAATTTATCAAAAAATTTAACACAATATTTTCCATGGGTTACCCTCAACTGCATTGTCCGTGATCACTGTGTCAGTTTCAGTGTCATATCTATCTAACACCAAAAATACCATGATTTCATACCATTATCAGGATTTTTGGTGCAATGTCCACATTAACATGCAACGGTCTCAATTTCAGCATATAAGGTATACAGGTCAGCATATAAGGTATGAGGGTCAGACGATAAGGCTACACGTAGGTCTTCGTACCTCAAAGAGACCTGTATGGGTCTTGTTTGAGGTGTAATTTTGACTCCTAATAGATATATTCCCTTTCGCTTCCTATTCACTCCTATTTCACTCTTGAAGCTAGCCATAATGAAACCTCTTTCCCTTCCTCTATCTCTCTTTCCCTTCCCTCGCATCAGTCCTCTTCACAAACCTTCTCCCTCCCACTCAATCTCTTCCATACTCAAGAGATTGTTGAAGGAGAAGTCTAATTCTTAAGGAGAATGTTCAAGTCAACGATCCAGTGGCTAATCTCTTTAAAATTAGGTTACTCTGAATCCCTATTTCTTAGATTAATGACTCAATTGAGGGACTTGATTTAAGATTCATGTTTGATTTACACCTAATTTAAGGTTTGCTCCACAAAGATCAAGACCAAACCATGCCGATCTAGGTTTGATCTGCAAGGAACTAGGCTAAATAAAAACATACTTGGATTTTATAGGATTTCATAGGGTTTCTGGGGTTTAAAATGGCTGAAACTATCATTGGACCCATGCCAGCATTCCATGTTTCAATACACCCGACATGCACCAGAACCAGACCAGTCCGACCGGGAACGTTCCGTTATCTGAAACATCAAGCCATGGTATAGGTTATTAATTAGCTCTGAAAATTGGTACCAACCTTGACAGTTGGTTAAAGTTAAACCAATATTGTACCAGTATATCAGATGGTATACAGCACAGTATATCAGATGGTATATGGCATGCACCAACCAGTATCAACAAATAAATAAATAACAAAAACTAAATACCAACCAGTACCGGTTTATACGATCTAATACCGGTTCTTGGTCGAACCGGTAATGTCCAACCAGTACATGAAACCTCAAACTTTAATAAATTCTCTATAATTATTTCCTTATGGGCATTTGCACATTGTATTCGACTCATATGAAAGTGAGTCTTAGACAATAGCATATCATGCAAGAAGATCACTAAATGAACAACTAAAATACATGACTCAGATATGAACCAGTGCACAAGGCTTCCACCAATGTGGGTCTCAAGATGGCAAATAAATACAGCCTTACCTCTATAATAGAAAGGTTGCTACCATGACTATGAATATTAAAAAATACTTACATCTACAGTCCTTAGCATTGCATCACGTATGCTGCCCATTGCTGTGTTCGAGCCAACACCGACTACAATAGCTCTCGCTCTACCAGCCACCACAACAGTACCCTGCATATTATATGTAAGAATTGGTCATATGTTTCCATATTTAGTGTAGAACAAGAAGCAGGAAAAAGGCTTAGATAGTGAATAGATATATGCGAATGCATATAAGAAACTAATAGCAAAATATATGATACTCATGTGACAAACAGTTGCAACAAAGTTTTAACAGTAAATACTGGAAAAGGATAGATATGAACAATATCAGGACCTGTTAAAAATGAAAGTGAACAGATACAATTCAGTTCCACAAAACTAAGAACTAAAACTGGATTCCAATGAGAAATCAAAACCTATACACTGACTATTTAAAATTTTAAGAATCGCAGGTTAAAAAACATTAGAGTTATAGCTGAAAAGTCAGTATAGCAAAGCAGAAAATGAATTGTAATACTGCTGTAGCGAGGTATACACAAGATTCTAATATTTTATCAATAAATTCTATACTTGTACTTTTACATCTCTTGAAAAAATATGCTAAAGGTATACACAAGATTAATGTGTAAAGATTACAGTATACATATATATGGCACTGGCATACTACTATTACAAGGTACCTTGTAATTTGCTTACAAGCTATGGCATAAATGTTGATTGAATCTTGCAGGTAACTCACCACATGCCCATGTGATATTACTTAATTGATATCTTTAACAATATATTATGTTAAAGTTGCAGTTTATCCTTTAATGTCAAATGTTAAGGATATAAAAATAATTCTATTACTAATGCCAAAATATCTACAATCAAGGATTTAAATGTTCGTCATACCATGGCATATTGCCCGATACAGGCGATATGTATCAATCCAACAAAGGACCGGTATGGGCAGTACATACCGTTTGTCAGTATGCCCCACCATACCATATGTCAGTATATCGGTATGGTTCGATACGTAATATACCAATAGCCGATCGATACATTGGTACAGATCAGTAAGACAAACTATGGTTTCAACCAAGGTTCGTAATTTCGATCCGCACCGACATACCGAGCCTTGCTCGGTATGGTACGTATTGAAGCGTACCGACGGTATGCCTAAAATAGCTAAAAGGTCGGTAATGGTCAAAATTTTGACCGTTACAGCCCGATACAGCCCCATATCGCCCGATACGAGGCCAAAAATTTGGTCCATGTGTCGAGAGGCTCTCGGAGCGGTACATGTCGAAATTAAAAACCATGGTTTCAACAACCATTAGACAAGTATCATACCAGTATAAACGAATCTATACTATTAATAAAAAAAGGCATACCTAGTACACGAGGCTTCCACCAATGCGGGGTTTAGGGAGGGTCAATATACGTAGCCTTACCTTTAAATATTTAAAGAGATTGTTTCCGTGACTCTGAAAAAAATTATAAGTTACATACCAACCAGTAACCTATATAGTCTGAAACCAATCCAGTCAAACATGTAGATATCGATCAACATGATTTCTTATCTACAACAATGGGCGATAATGTCTCCTATGTGGGTTAACTATATGGATTTTTTTCCACCACTGAACTCTATTGACAATAACACTAGTCAGAGTGACAGTATTCAAATCTCTTTTCATTGTTTCTAATCATACTTACAAACAATATAAGATTTATCTTAGGATGATTCTTTTGTTAATTCAGGCAGCCTCGTCAATCCATTGCAAGTGTAAGTGCCAACCTTACCATTACAAGTGAACAGGTTTCCAAGTCTTGAGCCCAAGTCAATATAGCAAAGGAGCAACCTTATAATGACACCAAAACTTGCCCATAGTGGCAACCTGGGATATTTTTTAGAATATGTAAAATAATGCAAAGTAGAGAAATACCATGTCTAAGAACATTGTAGCTGATAATTTCTCAACAATATATGTTTTGTCTCACAATAAAGTGTTTCAGTATTCTAACATATTATAGAGAGACAATTTTTTATCATACCTCATGGAAGCAAAAAGGAGTATAACAAAAGCTAAAACAAAGAGTAAGCACATATCTATCGAAAATAATCTTACTGAAAAGAGGATGTTTGTTTTGTCTTGATATACAGCATTTGTTGCAACAGTGGATTCAAGGTCTTTCGCCACGGAGCAGCTCTCACCTAATATTAAGACAAGACTCAGTATGACGTGTGCTATTATAGATACATGAAAATTTTAAGAAATTATACAGAAAACTCCATGAATTCCTTGCAAGCTGAGATCTGACAATGCATCTGCTCATAAGCACCAATATGTAAGTAACTTAGTACAGCCATAACGGCCAAACCAACTAACGAAACAGGGTACGGCCACAGTTATTTCATATAAGTACATCCAGCAGAAAGATTACCGCTTAGAACATATTTTATATCAACTAAGTTTAATATTACTTTGAATAAGGTATTGTTTTTGCAACAAGCCAATAACATCATCCAATACTCACTAGCTTACAGATAAAAGCATGGTACCAGACTAATGCTCCACACCTGCCATTATATGCATCTCTTTCCTAAAAGTGTAGGCCTTTTGTTGACTAAACCAACCACATTTTTAACATTAACTCTTGAAATCATGACTCAAGATAGTACTCATATCATCATCAGCCAAGAAAATGATATAATCATCGATGTTTTTAGCAAGGTTCGCAATACCGTACCGTACCGGTATTTCGACCTGGGCTCGGTACCGGTACGGTACGGTGTACCGAGCGGTACACCCAGGTGTACCGAGTACTGTAGTACTGCTACAATGCCACAGTGCACTGCTACAGTGCCTCGGACCGGTAACAGTAAGTCCGCGTACCGAAAACCTGTCGGACCGGTACGTACCGCCCGTACCGGGTGGTACGGCTCGGTACGGCAGACCCTGGTTTTTAGAATAGGTCAGAGACAATACATTTCAGTCATCCATCATTTAAAACAAATTTAAGTTTATTAAAATGATAGCCTTCAAGAAAAATATATACATAGAGACATAATAAGCTGTATGGGGTAAAATGATATTGCACATGGATAATGTGAAAGTTGTTTGGTAATGCTGGATATGCAGTTCAATCGCATTTGCCATTTTAAAAGAAAGAAGAACCACATATAGCTGATAGACCATGTCATTTCAAACATTTTTTTATGCAACCACTGTTAGTTGCAGTGTGTTGGATCTGCAAGGGCTTATTGCTCTTTTGATTTACCTCAGAGCATGTATCGATGGGCTTTATGACGTCTAAAACAGAACTCAGAAATAGTTGTATCTAAACTGGGAGCAGTCCCGTCCACTTCTGAAACTGCCATAAAAGTCAACCTCTCAATTTTTTTTTTTCTAATCACCTCAGATTGGAAGGATTGACTACGATCAGCCAATCCTTTACAATCTTGGCTAAGGCAAATGGTACAGCAGGAAATTCTCCTTGGCTAAGCAATAAAGAGTGCCACTGTTTCAGTTACACATAGCAAAGGAATAACATATGTTCCAGGGTAGGATCCAGAAAAGGAAAAAAAAGCACGAGAGAAGAACAAAGACGAAAAAAATAAAAAAGGACTATGATCAATTGATTAGTTTTTGTATATGTTCCAAACATGTTATATATGATAATGCATGTAATAAAAAAAAATACACAATAAAATAGTTTATAAATCCTCAAAAAGTAATACAAAAAATATAGAAATACAAAAACAACTATCATATATAGAATTATAAAAAGTAATATAATATATAATATTGTAAATAATAAATGACATGGAAAACATAAGTGTGAATAAAATTTTCAATAAGAATTAAAGATTTTGGAGAATGTGGAGTAAAAGATAACTGGTATTGTATATCCAAAAATGAATAAGATGACAAATAAAAATATGTAATGATTAGTAAATAACAAAATGAGCAGTAAAATTCGTAATTAATAGGTTATATGAAAGTAAAAAATCATGCTAATATTTAGCTGTTTTATGAATTTAAAAAAAGCATATTGATCAATCTAATAATCAGTGATTTAAAAAGCGCTAGGCGCCAAAAGGCGCCAAGGTCCAAAAACGCCCGAGGCGCTAGGCGCTCGCCCGAGCGAAGCGAGGCGCTAAAATATAAAAATATATAATATAATTAATAAATATAATTATTTAAAATTTTAAATAAAAATATGCTATTAAATTTAAAAAAAATCTATTAACAGTATTGAAAATTAATCATTTCAAATAAACGTAATATTAACAGTATACGTATACTGAGCCTGCTGACTGAGAAACAAGGAAGCAGCGACGAGCGGCGAGCGGCGAGCAACGGCAGCGGCAGCAGCGACGGCAGTGGGAAAAGGAGCGGGAGCGACGAGCAGCAGGAGGCGCGAGCGGCGACAACGACAACGTTTGCGAGCAGCGACAGCGGCGAGCAGCGGCAGCGGGAGCAGGAGCAGGAGCAACGAGCAGCGGGAGGCGCGAGCGGCGACAGAGGCAGCGTTTACGAGCAGCGGCGAGCGGCGACAGAGGCAGCGTTTGTGAGCAGCGACAGCGGCGAGAGACGACAACGGCAGCGTTTGCGAGCAGCGACAGCGGCGAGCAGCGAGATCGGGATCGGGAGTGGCAGCGGGTTAGGGTTGGGTAAGGGTTATATCGATTTAGTTGGTTCGATTGAACCAACTAACCAACCGAACCAGGACCGAACCAGACCTAAAATCCTGGTTCGGTCGCCTTGGTTTACCCAGGCGCTCGCCCGAAGCGCCCAGCGCTTGGGCTTGGGCGAGCGCCCAGGCGGCGCCTGTTTGAAGCGCGCCGCCTGGGAGATTAGCGAGGGGCTCGGGCCTCACCTCGCCCGAGCGCCAGAGCGCCTTTTTCAATCACTGCTAATAATACCAATCTGAACTAAAAGCTTTTGTTTTCGATCCCAATCGTCTCATCTCTAACTAATTGCTATCCCAATGCCAATCTTGATATCCCAGTTTTAGTGGGGGAAAAAATTGTGGGAGCATATTATGTACCACATGAACAGGAAAATTTAGAAAGAACCAATGGTTCTCTTCTTTTGTAATGTTGGTGAGATAGGGCTCATCACCTAACCCTCTAGCAATGTTTTTTAAATAAATAATTTCTTTGTTTTTCTTGTTCCAAAAAAAACATATTATATAAGTTCACATAGTACCTTTTTTAAAAAAAGGTAACTAGTTTTCCACTTGGTAAAATGAATGCTGATGTGAAAAGGACATTATATTTACTATTTACATTTAATATGTGTTGATGGAATAATTTGAATACAAAAGAATGTGTGCTTAACCTGGTATAAGCAACTTATATGATCCTTGCAAACATAGAATAAAATGGGAAAATAATACAGTAACGAATAACATATATCTTTTGCATATTCTTTAGATACTACTAGGTCATATATAACTGAAGAATAGGTCTCAGATAGAATAACTAAAGAAAGTTGGTCATGGACTAAAGGTAAGATCTTTACATATAAGAAAAAAATGTGCCCATGATCATGACATATACCACGTGTTGTCTACATGTGGTGTAACCAAGGTTTTAAATTTCGAATTGTACCACCCGTACTGGGCGGTATGTACCGGTCCGCTAGCTGACCAGTACATGGACCGCTCGCTACCGGGCAGTATCAGCTGGCGGACAGAACGAGGAGCACGACAACGAGGAGCACGACAACGAGGAAGACGAGGCTGCGGCACTCGTTGAACGAAGAAGACATGACAGAGAAGAGAGTTGGACATGGCAGGACACGAAGAAGCGCTCCATCGGGAGAAACGCGGTAAGGGGTGGGTCCTCGCTTCGTCGGGCGAAACACTATAGGGGGTGGGTCCTTGCTCCATTGGGCGAAACACAATAGGGGGTGAAGGGATCATGGCCGCTGTGGTCGGGGAGGTCGCGATCGATGGCAAAGGAAGGGATCCTGGCCTAGGTAGGACTATTGCTTCCTCTTCTCGCTCTCACCATCATCTTGGTCTTCTTCCTCATAGTCGCTAAGGGCAACAACGACGGGGGAGCGGGAGATGAGCTCACCCTGGGCTGGATCCCCGCCGGATCCGACTGCTGCGAGAGCATTGTGGAGTGCCTTGCGGGGGATGAGTTCGAGCTGGGGATGGAGGCAACGCGTCGCATCCTCGCCCGCTCCGCCATCACCCCCTTTCCGTCTCTCGAGATGGAAAGGGGATATTTTTATAAATAATTTTTATAGTAATTATTACTCATAAATATATGTATATAAAAATACATATGTTTATGAGTAAACATATGTATATAAACATATTTTTATATACATATGTATATGAAAATACATATATCGAGCGGTATGCCATACCATACCGTACCGAGCAAAGCTCGGTACACCGATACAATACAAAATTAAAAACCTTGGGTGTAACAACCAAGAAATCTACCATTATGCAAAATGAAGAATTCATTAGCACAAAGCTGTAAAGAGTAAGACTACTAACAATAACCAGTTTCCTTATTACTTTACAATGCTACCAAAAACCTTAAAATTGTTTGCCCACATTTACCAATGACATAGCATCCATGTTGCTACTATAAATTAAAGCAGTCAAGAACAAGAAACTGCATACCAGTGAGAATTGCCTGGTCAACACGTAATTGGCTGCTCAACATCTCTACCATTCTCATGTCAGCAGGGACCTTGCATCCCACTAATTGACAAAAAGGAAATTCCATTCCAGATAATATAAGTAATTTGACAAGCCACGCATTTAAATAAATGGGGCAAACATACCTCCAACTTCAACAATATCTCCAGGAACAAGTTCTGTGGCAGGCAGTATTGAGAAGCAACCTGCAGAGAACACCATATTCAAATCATATGCAACCTCTATTGCACTCTGGTAAACAAGAAAGATATTATTTTAGATATAGTATATCAATTATACTAATGGAGGAAATGGAGACTATACTTGTTTTGGCATTAGTTCATATGAGTTTAAGTCCTGCTATTTTAAGGACATATCATGATAAGAGCCATTTTTTAAAACTGAAAGAATTCAAGAAACAATAGTACAATTTCAAGCAAGGGCTAAAACATGTCAATCCCGGACTTTAACGATACAAGATAGTATGATATGATATTAAAGATGAGTTGGAAAAAAATAAAGTGAGATAAAGGAAATAAACTAAAGCCACCACCCAAGGTTTAATGTACCGAAGCGTACCGCTCGGTACGAGCAGTACGTACTGGTATGACAAAGGATCGGTATGGACAGTACATTGATACACGCTAGTGTATCATGTGTCAATATGCTTAGTACAACTCGGTACGTACCACACCAATAACTGATCGATATACCGGTACGGACCGGTACTACAACCATGCCACAACCCAAGTAGAAACATCAAGGGATGCAGATGTCACCATCTAAATGAGCCTAACAACGGATACAAAGCTTAGGAACTCACTGCTAGGAATTTATCAAAGAGAAATATAGCATATGAGAAGGAAAAGACAAGCAGAAGGAACTAAAGTTATATTCAAATCACTAAATGCCTCCAAGGCTTACCATAAAAATACAATAACTTTGATTGTAACAATAACTCTATAAGAATCAAGACTCCCAAAATTGACTAGTCGAGTATGACTGTTCTGTAAGGTTTTGCCATAGGTTGATTAAAATGCCTGTATCTGTAATATGTATTGGTTCTGAAATCACAAAACTGTGCACGAATAAGAACATGAACTCCCATTAAACTTCCACTAAAATGTACCAGTTCTCTAGCCTTTTCCTATCATCATATCCATTCATAACCTAAAAGTTCCATGCAGAAGTCTTCACATGTAGCTTCCTGCCCAAAGAGTTTGATATTTTATCTGAGAATTGGATCAAGCATGGCTAAAACAACATTTAACTCTACTTCACAGGCTCTGTCTTCTAAATTTGCATGCAAAGTAGTGCATTTCGCATCATACAGCAAAATCATGCTACTAACCATCTTGACATAGATTAAAATTTTCGTCCAGATACATAGTAATACTACCAAGTTCAGACCACCAATTAGTCCATGGCCCACAACCTCAGGATTGGTGGTTTGCATCTCAGATATATGTATACAAAACAGAAAAGAGTTCCACTGTGTATCTGTTGAAAAACATACATATCATTTTTCTTTCTCAATGACAACCTTGTTTCATTATCTTTCGGTAACTAGTCAAACAGAAACTAATGCATGATAAGAATGTGAAATAGTTGAAAAGAAACAACGAAAAACACATACAACAACTAAGTCTCACAAGAATTATCTTGAAAAATGGTTTGACTTGTGATTCTTTCTGGTGCACCTTTTAAGACTACCACACAAAACAATTTAGACAAAACAACAATGATTTCGAAGAGTGTGTACAAAAAATCTCATTAAATAGGTGTTTAACAAAGCTGTAATGTGTCAAGAGGCCTAATCTTTGGAGCTACTCTTACCATTTCGTAAGACAGTTGCAACATCAGCCTGATATGCTCGCAACTCCTACAAGATACCACGATAGAAGGGGAAAAAGCTGATAAATACAAGTTAAATAAGTTGTATCATACAGTAGAGAAAAATGTACAGTTTAAGGTACAAAACAGAGTTCAGAAGGTGTCAAAACTTAAGAAACACTAAATGCAAGCTAGCAAACTAATAATGAATAGCAGTGATTACCATGTGATATAGCAAATTTCAACAGCAGTTTAAATTTCACATAAAAGCTAGAAAGCATCACAATTGTTATACACACACACAAACAAAGTTGGCTTTTGAATGAGTCTTCCATTATGTTAGCCTCCAGAGTGTAGAGCCAATCTTCGAGGCATTTTGGTTTTAATTTTTAAAAGTCAAAATTTCAACTCCTAGTTTTGCATGTTTCATGCATATATTATAGTCTGTTCTGCCAAACAATAACTAAAAGGTGTTGTTTAGCAATGTCAAGTTTTGGATAAGGAAAAGACCCCAAGTTCACATTGCCAACATATATCTTAAATGAGTCATCATAGAGAAACTCGGAACCACATTGTTAAATTAAAGGAACTTACAATGCCAAGAAAAAACCATGCCAATAAAAAATGTAATACAACTATATTTTTGGCAGTAATACTATTTTTATACAAGGAACACAATCTCAGGTACCGGACCCATAACAGGTACACCGGTATATACCAAATATCAGATAAAATGCTGAAAAATAAGCCAAAAGAAAGGGGGAAACCCTAATTCAGTGTTCTTCCACCCTTTTTCTTGACACATATAAATCATATTAGATAAAAATAAAGTAAATCTGATCTATAAAAAATTAGAATACAAAATCAAAATATATATTGAATAAGGACCAAAAGCAGAATTTAGAAAAACAAGATATAAGTGTTGTATCACTCTATGGACCCATCAAAGTCAAAATATGTGACATTTTTTCTCTCATTCCTCCATCAAATCTTCAAACACTTGGCACCTTGGTTACTTCAAGGTTGATACAGTCCAATCCACTAACCGAGAATGTGCTACTTGATTTAAAGTGCCATATATGCAAACATGATTTTTAAATGTATGTTAGGGTTTCATAATGGTGTCAATAAAAAATTGCTATTAATGACGTCAAACCAACATTTTATCTTTATTGTATTAAAATAATGGTAATAACAGCCCAGCAGTTGGATACACAAAGATGATAACAAAAAATGTAAAGGTTAGGTAAAATAAAGAAGAGTCAACCTTGCTGCCATGTACAAGTTGCAACAACTAGAAACTCGACTAGCATGCTGGTAAAACAAACACATTTATATATTTTAGATATTTCTGTTTACTATATAGAGCATTTCTAACCCTGTTTTCAAGATTAAGCAACTGATTTGACATACATGATAAAAGTGTTATTATGCAAAGAAACTGAATCACAGACATAACATGTGCATGCTAAACTGTTGAACCATAAGACAAACTAAATATAGAACTTTGCAAATGACATGTCATGCACAATAAATTTCTGATACGATCATAATAAGATAGAAGCAAAAAATATTCAAATTGCAACATAGAAAGTATAGTATAAAAAAAAGAATTATAGAACTACCACAAGTGCCTTTTCAGCATTTGTTTCAGTTATCACACCTACAGCTGCATTTGCTGCCAATATCATAAATATGACCTGTAATTATTCGAAGAATCAGTAAAAGATAGAAGGGTAACAGTTAATGATTGATCTTTTATTTTTCTACTTGAATGCAGTTGTTTCAAAAGTGAATAAAAAAATGCACACCAACAAAGACAATCCAATTGCTAGAAATGCATATCACAAGAAGTGATCATCTCAATTGGCTCCATTTTCATCTAGAGTGACCTTTCCGAAGCTTCTTTTTTCTACTTTGGAGTTTCAAGTATTTCGAGTCCTCGAAAATGGTTTAAAAGAAACTCCAAATTCCAAAAGATTCAAACATTAGAAAACCACAAAAAGAGTTCATAAGAGTGATCATCATAAAAAAGAACTTCGATGTTGCAGAGTTGCAAAACATTACGAAAATGTCAACACGTAACAGAGTTGTCATCAGTATCTAGATTCTTAAGTATTGATATTCTCATATTCATGTTCCAAATTTTGCCCAGACCGAGAGGTAGCCATGCACAAATCATCCATCTAGCACCTTGCTCCTTCTGTGAGGAAAACATGCACTTACATTCAAGTAAACATGTACAATCAAATCCTAGTACTGGACATCATTATTTCACTCTGAAAACTGAGTTGCGAGTAAAATTGAGTGTGGTTCACAATTTCACATATTGACTCTTACATATTATATAATCAAGGATCGGTGTTTCATCTATGAAACCAAAACACATTTGATTGGCATGTGTGGTTCACAATTTCACATATTGACTCTTACATATTATATAATCAAGGATCAGTGTTTCATCAATGAAACCAAAACACATTTGATTGGCATGCAACTCGAGCATTAAATAAATAATATAAAGGAGTTCTCACAGAAGGTTCTAGAAAAGCCGTTAAGCCTGTCTCGCCATTGATCAAAGCCAAAAGGAACGAAACAATGGCAGCTGCAATCAATATCTTAACAAGTAAATCATCAAACTGATTCAAAACTCGTTTCCAGAAAGGAGTGCCTGCACGAAGCAATTACATCAAGACATTTAGCCTTTTAGGTTGGATTGCATAATTCCAAGGCTGCAAATATCATAAATTTATTTAGCTTTCCCCATATGCTGAAGGGGAACCAATAATATTACAGGAGAGAAAAATGACAACAATTCAGAGTATGCTAAACATAAAATTCTTCTTGCCATTGCAAGCACAAGATGCTAAACATTGATAACTGCAATATCAGCAATTAATATACTTAGTTGTTGCACTTAAGAAGAAAGAATTGGTACAATAAGACAAGTCATCGTCAGTATTAATCCTTACAGGTCAAGCAAGACTAAACGTCAAAAAAGAACTTTCACATTTACACAAAAGGATTTTTTTTTCATGTATAAAGCTCCAAAAGTAGGAAATGATGGATGTCACAAAATTTTGTTGCATGTATATTCCTGCAATATCTCAAATCAAACAAATGCCCAAGTTAGCTAACATCTCTTGAGTCTTGACTGTTATAAATCTGTTATTAGTGGCCAAATCACAAGACTACCCTTTTCAAATATGCCTCTATATGAATTAGGACAAAATCAACCTAAGGACAAATCCAAGAATTAGGCTGACTCGGGGAGTAATATTAGGGTTTAGATGTATTTGATTCGGTTGGGTCTTCTCATTTCAACAGTCTTTGGGTGTATCCATTTTCAAAAATGTCCTTGTACAGTCTGTAAAAGTGTAGGAGGGATTTAGAGGGGGAGGAGGTTATTAAGGAATAATAAGAGATTAGAATAACCTTAGGTTGGAAATTGGAAGAGAGAGAATAAAGAGAATTAGAACGGAGAGAATCTTGACTATTACATTATCGCAGTTATCAAAATCATGCATGGTCCAATAGTGCTACCAACAGTAATGTACCCAAAAATACAGATAATCACAAATGTAAACAAGACCAAGGGAAACTTTGAGGATGAGAATGACCAAAAAGGGAAAACCTCGGATGTGGAAGATGAGAATGACTAATTGTCTATATCTAATCAAAGCTTTTATGTGGACAATTGACTGCTGGGGCTTTTAAAGCTCATTTGGCCACCATATTCATGGACAAAAATCTAAGGAAAATCAATACTAAAAGAAAACATGTGAATATCTGTTGCACAACCTGTCTCGCAGGATGCATAATGCTCACATTGCTTTAAAAAGTGACTGCTTGTTCAAGCTAGAAATATCAGACTTCATATGCATAGAGGAGACCAAAATTAAGATTTGTCATCATACAGGTCTAGTGTTATTGATAGCTTAGCATACATCTACCACTATCATAAAATAGCTGCTTGGGCATTTTTACCTTTTTTAAATTTGAGAAGACATCCATGACCACCCATCCTTGTAAAGGTAACATACAAGCAAGGTTCGCTGTGCCACCCGAAACACATCAGTACGAGCAGCGGCACGTACCGGTCCAACAGGGGACCGGCACACGGACCGCCCTGCACCAAGCGGTCCATGACATATGACCCCGTATCGCCCGACAGGGTCTGTATCGAGCAAAACGATCAGATTTTGACCGTTACCGATGAAGGGTTGAGATAGCTCTATTTCAAATGGTCCTTTTGCTCGTTTGAACCAAGATCTAAGGGTATTTAAGCCCTTTCTACCCCCTCATTCACTCTCCTTTCACTTTCTCAAACTCTTCTACTCTTTCAATCTCTTTCCCACTCACATCTTTCTCTCATTCTCACACTTGCACCCTCTTAAACACAACAAAACTGCAATTTGTAGATTGGATCAAGTTTGAGAGAATTAACAACTAAGTTAGAGAAAGGCACTCTAATCAAAGGTATATTATTTTTCAAGATTTTTATTGATTTATGAGATGATTAAGCCTATTCTATGTTCTCAATGTCTAATACATTGTTTGACATGTTTATAATGGTAAAATAGGATTAATTAGGGAGTAATTAAGGCCTTTAATACTGTAATTAGTGTGTTTAATGCTTATTTAAATGAAATTAAACATGTATTGGGTGAAATCTTTGTATTTCATGCATATTAGGGTGTTTTACAGGTTTGTGATGGTAGAAGAGGTTTAATTAGGTTTTAATTAAGTTTTTCAATACTGTGATTAATGGTTTTAATGATAACTTAATCAAAATTTGACCTATATTGGATCAATTCAATGTATTTAATACCTATTAGGGTCTTCGACAAGTTTATAGTGGTGAAAGAGGTTTAATCAGGGAGTAATTAACTATGTTAATACTGTGATTAGTGTATAATGATGATTTTATCATAATTTGACCTATACTGGATCAAATTTACGTGTATAATGTCTCTCCTAGTGTTTAACATATTTATTGTGGTAAAATAGGGCTAATTAGGGATTAATTAAATTTTTTTACGCTGTAATTAGTGTATTTAATGATGAATGCATCATAATTTGACCTTATATTGGGTCAATTCTATGTATTTAATGTTAATATTGGTAAAAGATGGTGAATTACGGAGTACCTAGTGTTTTTAATGGTGTGATTAGTGTATTTAAATGCCTAATAGGGTATTTGACATGTTTATAGAGGTAAAAAAGGACTAACTAGGAAGTAATTAAGTTTCTTAATGTCGTGATTAGCATATTTAATGATGAATTCATCATAATTTTACCTATATTAGGTCAATTCTTGTATTTAATGTCTATTAGGTTGATTGACATGTTTATAGTGGCAAAGTAGAATTCATTACATATAATTGCAACTTATTATTTCAAAACAGGGCTAATCGTAGCTTGTTTATTTCAAGGTTCAACATTTCGTGTATCATACTCGTCTCCAAGATTTGTCAATACAATATGTACCGATCTATACCAATGTACCAACACATGATATGCTAGGATCAGTGATTTAAAAAGCGCTAGGCGCCAAAAGGCGCTAAGATCCCAAAAAGCCCGAGGCGCTAGGCGCTCGCCAGAGCAAAGAGAGGCCCTCTGAAATATTAAAATATAAAAATATATAATATAATTAAAAATATATAATTATTTAAATAACAAATTATATTAAATTAAAAATATATTGTTAATAGTATATTACTTACTATTAATAGTAGTTAGAGAGGGAGAAAAGAACTGTTAACAGTAACAGAGGGGGATAAAAGGGTCACTAACCGTGGAAACCGACAAAAAGTGGCAACAACAGCAGTGAGAAGGCAGTTGCGATAAGCTGGCGGTAGCAACGACGAGCGACAGAAGCTGCGGAAAGCAGTAGCGGCAACGGCGAAAGTTCCAAGGGGCATCCATCGGTGGCGAAGGAACCTGTGGTCGTCTCCCTCAATAGTGGAAGGAACTACACACGAAGCGACAACGGAAGGAAGCTATAGGCTCTTGCTAAGGCATCGGACTCGTCCGTCAACGACAGAGGAAGGCTCGGTCCGCTACGTCTACGGCAGAGGCAACGACAGAAAGCGTCGATGGCGGAGGCAAAAGTAGCGCTACAGTTGGCTCGAGGTCACACAAGCGTGAAGGGTGGGGTAAGAAACTACATTATTGAACCGAACCGAACTTAAAAGTCTAGTTCAGTTTGCTTATTTGAACCGGGCGCTCGCCCAAAGCGCCCGGCACCTGGGTTCGAGCGAGTGCCCAGGCAATGCCTCATTGAAACACGCCACCTAGCCCCCACACGAGGTGCTCAAGCCTCGCCCGAGCGCCTAAGCGAACGCTCGAGCACCTATTTAAAATCTATGGTTTTATCAAAGGAGGTTAACATCAGATATTGTTGATATTGATCCGTAAGTCTATCCTCCATAAACAGCATAACAGACATGAATTGACGATACATATACAAAAGAAAATAAGCAGGATATTAGGAAGGCAACAGCTAAGTTGTTTAACTTCTATAGGATTCCAACAAACACAATCCAATGTCCATATTATCAAAGCATGGTGCCTTTGATCCAAAAGGCTGGCACAGGGATCCAACCTCCAACATTGAAAGAGATCCATGGCATTTATTTAGATGGGATGACAGAACCGAAGGATTGGATCAAATACTTCAAGAGGCAATGGGACAAGTATAGGGTGACACTGATGTGTGATAGTTGGACAGAGCCAACAAGAATAAGTATAATCAATTTTCTTGTGTATTACAATATATGGGTTTTTTTTCATAAGTCGGTTAATAATTCTAATAAGATTCAAAATGCAAACTACACTAAAAACTTAATGGACACCGTGGTAGAGAAAATTGAACCACAATGCATTATCCATATAATCACCGATAATGAAGCTAATTTCAATATATGTCGGTTTACAATTAATGGAAAGAAGAAAAACATTATTTTGGACTCCATGTGCAACTCATTTGCATAGACCTAATGCCGAAGGATATTGGTGAGTTACCATCAGTAAGCAAGTGTATAGTTCGAGCACAGTTGATCATAAAATTTATATATAACCATCATTAAGTCCACTCTTTGATGCAAAAGTTGCCCCGTCCGCATACTTACGTAGATAACGACATCGAGTAGTTACAAACGTAATTGATCAACGTTCGTATTGATTCACACAAAGGTCTGCAACAGACTATTGTATAAACGGTTGGAGAAACTGATATATGTCCAATACAACATGCGACTAAGGTTGCAGTATGTCGAGCTGGACAAGGAGCCAAAGGAACCAAAGATTGATCCCATCGACCTTGAATATTACAACAAAGATTTGCAGTCGATGTTACAATGGATCGAAGCAGTAGAGAACCAAAAGGGTCCTTTACTTGATCAGGCGGGAGATCCTCCATTTCCTTCGCGTTTTACCATTTAGGAGATAGAAGAAGAAGAAACATATTCCCAATAGGAGGAAGATCCCCCTTGGTCAGAACATGGTAGAAGAAGTCGAACAACATCGAGTCAGACTACTCGAGAAACCAGAGGCACCCAACCGTCACAAGCGTCCACCTAACGTGCAAAGGCAAAAGAGAAGGCAATAGCATCAGCTGCACCGTTGGAAAGAATCAAGTCGAGCGACAAGACAACTTCTCAATCGCAT